AAACAGAGAAGAAGTCGACTTCTGAGAAGACGGAGAAAAATGAGGAGCAGCCACGATGGCGTTATCTCCCAGAAGCCAGGTGGAGACAGTGTTTCCAGGCGAAGGCAGTGATCAACCACATGCTCACAGGTCAAGTAAAGTGAGGGCTAAGATTCCTCAGCTTAAACGTGCTGAGGAAGTCACTGGTGTCCATGATATGGACAGTTTCCACGGAGTGAGGAAAAGGGGAAATCCTGGTTGGCACAGCTTCAAGAGCAAAGGGGAGGGGATGAATTAGAAACACTCCATCTAAATCACTGATTGAAGATTATTAGCTATCAAAAGAAAAGGAATGGGGAAATAGCTGGAGTTGGAATAGGAGTTGAGAAGGTTTTTCTCTTATTTTAAGACAAAATCATAGTATGTTTATTTCTGATGGGAGAAAACTAACGGTGAAGGAACAACAGAGAGATGAAAAAAGTGCAGGAGCAGTGTTCTTGAGAAAGCCAGAGGGGATGGGGACGGGACAGGGGGAGACTGGCTCTTGCTAGGAACAAAATGTGTTTGTTTCAGGGATCAGCAAACTCCTATAAAAGGCCCAATAGTAAATATTTGAGGTTTGTGGGCCATGTACTTTCTGTCACATCATAAAACTCTGCTGTTGTAATGCTGAAGCAACTATAAACAACATGTGACTAAATGTGTGTGGATGTGTTCCAACAAAACTTTATCTATAAAAATAGGCAGTGGGCCAGATTGGGTAATAGTTAGCTGATCCCTGGTCCACAGTATTAGGAGAGAAGCAGAATAAGTGTAAGGGCACAGAGAGAGGTGAGCGAGTAGATTTTTAAACATCTAAGGGAGCTGCCTTCTCTTGTTTGGTGAGTTACAGCAATTGATTTCTAGAGGTTGGATGAGTTTTGTTTATAGCACTCCCTTTTCCTTTTAACGTATGGCTGTAGTGATGTCCCATCATTCATTCCTGATATTGTCGAATTGTGGATTCTTTTTTTTTTTTCTAGATCACTCTTGCTAAAGTGTTTTTTTATTTTATTGATATTTTCAAAGCACTAGCACTAGGAGAAAACATATTGCATGAACTGATTATTTATATTTACACTCAAATTATTTCACTTCTTAAAAATTCAGTTCCCTAGTCTGCTTTAATTTTTCTACCAGGCTTTTTTTTTTTATTTAATTGTTCCATTGTTCACAAACATCAAAGTTCCCTGTGAATTTTAGTTAACAACTTTGTCTTAAGTTATTTCTGTAAGTATAGAGGTATCTATGCAAGTAGTTATGGAAGTAACATTTTGCAATACTCTGAAGTAAATTATCCTATAACACTTCTTTTTCCTGGCACATAGGCTATTTTAGTTGTTGCAAAAAGGAATACACATTTTTAACAAATAACTTTTAGTCATTTATATAAAAAGATAATATAAATGATATAATATTACCACAATTCCTTTTCCTTTTACTATCCTTTGACTATAAGAACTTATGAAATGACAATATGCTAAGATTAGTAGCTTCTGAATTAATTTCCTACTATCTCTACTCTCCACTTCTTTTGGCTTTCTTTTTTTACTTTCCTTGCCTTTATTCCTTTCTTTTGTTTTTCTAGGTTTTAATTTTTCTGTTTTCACCGGTATTTTGCTAGCATATATACTGTTAAGGAATTATTCTGTAGATTCTTCTTCTGAGATTAGCTGGGCAAGAATTCTCCAGACATTTCATAGGCAATCATGGAGGATCCTCTGTGTATCTTGAATAATCGAGATGGTTGTATGACTATAAAATTCTGACTGCATGTTGATGAGTGAGATAACCTTAGCCTTGAATTATGTTCAATAACCTTGATTATCTCAAGACATTTTTTCAATTCAGCCTCTTTATATGGCATATGTATTAAAAAATTAATTTGTATTATTAGTTTTAACTTTTCATAGACCTTTGAAAACTCTACATCTATTTGTAAGAGTTAATATCGATTTCATGACATTTTCCAGAATTGAAACCTAGGCTTGATTTATTTCCATAGTATGTAGGAAATAGTCTGAGAAATGAGGTTTGTATAGTTTAAACATGTTTTTGAAATATTATACCAAGAAGTCTTAGAATTTGTTAAAGAGGAGCATAGGTACAGTTTATTGAGAATATAATGCTAACATTATAAAATCCATATCTATGATGAATTTATATTTCTTTCTATTGGTTTATTAAAATTTGGACAGAATTTTCCTATGCACAATTAAACAGTGAATTAATTCCATTTGAAGGCTATATTGTGATAATGATAAAATATTTGTCCAAAGTTAGGTTATTTGCTCAGATTTCTAATTTCAGGGTAAAAACAGCAAAAGGGTATTCCCTGTTACAATGTAATTCCTGAAGATGAGACACATAGCACGTGTTCACATTCTCCTCCTCCTAAACTTAATCCATTTCCACTCTTTTATCTTGAATGATAAAAGCCTTGATAGAAGTGACTACCCTTGTTTCTAAAGTAATGCCTGGAATTGTAAATCCCGCCCTTTCCTGCTAAAAGATATGAGTGTTGTGATTCTATTCTAAAAGATGGTCCGTTCATCTTTTTCATTGATGGTCCCTCTCTGACGCCCAGTCCTCACAAAGTGCTCTCTCTTTTCAGCATGACACTCATCTGAAAGATGTTGGCTAATTTTTCCTTTCCAGAAAGTTCTTCCAAATTCCCAGGTGCACTACACCGTATCAGGATCATCATCGTCGGTTCTTTGCTTCTTGGCCTTGAGCCTTTCAATGTTTCCCTTCCAATGTCGCCCCCTTTTCTGTGGGCTCCTTTTCTCATCGTTCACAAACATTTTTCCAATCATCTAGGTCAAAACTTTGTCTCAATCTTTTCCTTCCATCTTGCGTCATTAACTAAGTCTTTCAAATGTTTTCTCTCAAATTATTTCATATTGGCCATTATCTAGCCCTTCCTTTCCTTGTGCTTTGTTTCCTCAACTACTGTTTTTCATCCTCCATCTCCTTTTTTATCCCATACCAAAGTAATGTGATTTAAACATTTTTATGATAATGTAATTTCTCTCCCCCAAATTCAGACTTCTTAATATTCTCTACCACATGTGGTATAAAATCCATAGCAGGACTTTGAAAAGCTTCTACAATCTGGTACTACCCTCAAATTCCCTGCAAAGTTTCTTATATGTCAGGATAAATATTCAAGTTTACAGCAACTAAGTTTACTAAAATTTTATACAATCCAGATCCTTGATCACTGTGAATACTGTGGAAAGACAGAGAGTAGTATCAATATACTCTACCTCAAAGAATTAAGTAAAGCTTAATTCAATTGATGGATTGATTAATCAGATTTGACAAACAATAAAAAAATTGACGTGAATGATGGTTTGTCTAATTATTGCCCATGGATATGACTAACTATAGTTTAGGACGGCAACTGTAAGATCTTTTATGTTACTTTTCATTTCCAGGTTAGAAAACTTTGAGTCTATACTAATTCTTAAAATATGGTTCTATGAATTAGTTCTTAGATTTCCTCAGGATTGAGGTTAATTATTGAGTCATATACATCTGATATTGTTTTCATCTGCAGAAGTTGTATGTTGTTGAAAGTCTTTCTTTCTAATAGAAAGTGTTGTAGGTTCTTGAACCCAGAAAAACTTGACACCTTTCAGAAACTTCTGAAATGGTGCTCTTGATAGATTTGTCACAGTTTTAACTGATTATTAATGCTAATGTAGTGCTTATCCTTTCATGGAAAGAGAAAAGAGAGTCAAGTCCACCTTTAATTCTTAGGATGATATATTTATTAATTCTCAGAGATATTCACTTCTAAAATGAAAAACATACATTCACCCCAGTTAGTGAGATGGATCCATAGAGCCAAATCCAACCTATTTCCTGCTTGACTTAAAGGGATTCTCCCTGGACGTCAGATGAAGGTTTTTCTGACTCCATGTGTTCCTGGTAGCCCAGGGCAGGCTATGTTTTGTCATCCCTTTTCTTGAAAAGATGATGGAAGGGGGAAAGAGAGAAAGGAAATTGGGAAGGAGGGTAACAAGTGGGAAGACAGACAAATTATTCAAATTCTTTCTTAAAGATTTACATTTACTTTACTCAAATTGAAAGATAATGCACTAGCTTCCAGTATATGAGTAATGTCACAAAGAGCAGAACTTTACCCCTGTCCTCGAAAAGCTGAAGTCAGGAAATCATCAGGATTGTTCTCCACTTTGCCTTCTCTATTAGATTTTTTTTTGTGTGTGTGTGTGAAACTTATTAGAAAGTTGCTTTCTAATAAGCATGCTTGTTCTGATTTCAGTTGTTCTTGGAGGCTTAATTCAGCTCTGTAAGCTTAAATCTATCTAAAACAATGGTGAAAAATAAAATACATAATCATCTATAATCAGTGCTCTGTGCCTTCCTCCAAGAGATGGTAGAAGAGTTTTAGGCACCTTTGATTTATAACAAATCCAAATTGCATTTTCTCACTTTGGTCTAATTTCTTCTTCTTTTTTCTAATGACTAAGCATTCATCAACATTCCCAATCATAATCAATAATCCTTGGATAAATTTTATGTACTGATTATTTCTTCTAGTCTTTGATCTTTAAAGCAACGTGATAAATTGTTCATGGTCCGCTGGAAGGTCACTGGAGAGGGATTGAGCTGAAGAGTGATGATTGAGGAGCATTTTATAAGAGACTTTAATTCCTGTGTGTTTTGCTGCAGGCATCTTCTCAGTCCTCAGCTTGGCCTCTGAGTGCACCACCCTTGCCGCGGAGCTCCCCAAAGTGTCCTACGTAAAAGCTCTTGATGTGTGGCTCATCGCCTGCCTGCTCTTTGGGTTTGCTTCCCTGGTGGAGTATGCTGTGGTCCAGGTGATGCTGAACAACCCCAAAAGGGTCGAAGCAGAAAAAGCCAGAATTGCTAAGGCTGAGCAAGCAGATGGAAAAGGCGGAAATGCGGCCAAAAAGAATCCCGTGAATGGTACAGGGACCCCTGTTCATATTAGCACTTTGCAGGTAAGAATGAAATTATCCAGCAAAATGATTCCCGGCATCTTCTCCACAGCCTCAGGAGAGGGAGTTTTCTGTGTGTGCAAAGGTTTGATGGAATTGATATTCACCTGTATTTTTTATCACATATGAAAAAGAACTGAGCTCCACATATTTTTTGAAAAATGTGCTTTCTAGAAAACATTCAAAACACTTAGGTCAAATACCTAAGGGGGCAGGGATTAAAATCTGGTTAAATTTATTGAGTTCTTGGCACTAAGTTTAAGGACACAGCTCTGCTTTGATAGTCACCACTGAATGTGCAGATCCTGCCAAACATTAACCTACCTCCTTGTGGTTTACAGAGAACTGAGGGCATCACTGACCTGCCAACACTGAAGACTTGAGGAACCCCAGGCCCTTGGTTACAACTCCCAACATTCCCCATTAAGTTAGAGAGCTTCATATGGGTCATGTCTGGCAGTCCACGTATTTACTGGATGTTTGGTTCATAGGGAAACTATACGCAAAGGTAGAAATCTGTCCAGCCCTCTGGTGAGTGTCTGTAAAAGAACTGGATAAGATTTCACCAGTTGATCCTGGGTCTGAGAATAAGGAGCAGCGATAAATCCTGGAGCACCAGGCTGCTTTGTGGATTAAAGTTAGATGTCCATTTACCCTGGAGTGCCTGTGATTGCTGCCCTCTGTTTGGGAAGGACAGCTAACTGTAAGACCATTCCCATAGTAAATTCCACAAGTGACAGATAGGTCCATGCCATCTGACAACCTTGAAAATCTCGCCTGCTCTGCTTCTGGCCAGGCCCCGTCCCACGCTGTGCTATCAGTTTGCTAATTGCCACTACTCCCCGTGCCTGGAGTGCTGGACAAGTACGTCACATGGTGTTTTATAGATACAAAAGCAAATGAACCATTCTTACATGGGGCTGCCTGTGGACTTTCTAATATATTTTTTCCCATTTAAGTTGTTTATACTCAATTTCTGAGCCTGAAGACAAGACGCTCTGCTGCTACCCTCGGGGAGGCTTCTTCAGGCTTGCTCTTCTTTCTGCCCGTACCATCTCCAGGGCCATTTCAGACTTACTGTAACCCTGCACTGAGGAAACACCCTTTCAAGGAAATTATTCCCTTTTGTTCCCTTTTCCAACATCATACTTGCATTTCTATTATTACCAAATCTAAGAAGATAACAGAGCCTTCCGAGGGAGGGGCTGTTTAAGGGGGTGCTTTAGCATCGGGGTGTCCAACCTGCGGCCCAGGATGGCTGGGAGTGCAGCCCAACACAAAATTGTAAATTTACTAAAACATCATGAGATTTGGGGGGTCTGTGTGTGTGTATGGAATCAGGCAGTTCTTGTGCATGAATTTTGTAGAAGACAGCGTCCCATCACAGTGTCATGGGACATAGACACAGTGTGCCCTCGCTATCTGCACACATGTGGCTCCGAGTTCAGAGAGGTGCAGCTTCCAGTGTGTCGTCTTCCAAGGGCAGAGAGTCGAATTAACACCATCAGATGTGACATGTGCTCACGATGACATGGTGAGGCAGCAGGCATCAGTCATGTTTCAACCTGCCGTTGCAATGTGAGGCATCGGATGCTAGTTAGCAGTCAGGTGAGCGTCTTTATTTGATGATTACCGGCACTTGCACACCTTGGTGGTGCCTCCTTCATCGCCACCTCACTTTACCATCGACTTTCCGCCTTTCCTTACATTGGCAGCTCTGATGTGGAAGGACCCAAACCTTCCTTTCTATTTTCCTTTCAATTAGTTTTCATAATAAAAGTAAATACAGTCCCTTATCTATTATTATTTTTTTAAAGTCCCCTGCCAACTTCTACAACATCTCGTAAAAACAGAACCCCCCAAAAGAAAAATTATGGATGAAGAAGATTTTTCAATAAAAAGTGAACAGATGTCTATTTTTATTTGAGGCTAATAGTAAGGCACTCAGCTTAGTTTGTAGGGAATTAGTACAGATTTTCAGAGACTAGAATTTGAAAAGTCATTATATGCAAAAATATACCGTCAAATTATGTGTGTGTGAAGGATTGCGTCATAAGGACAAAATAGTGGAACTGAAAAAAAAAAAACTGTCTTCTCAACAAAATTTTTTTAAAAAGTTACATCTCGGGTGGCACCTGTGGCTCAAAGGAGTAGGGCGCCGGCCCCATATGCTGGAGGTGGTAGGTTCAAACCCAGCACCAGCCAAAAAAAAAAGTTACATCTCAGATTTCATTGTAGAAGTTAGTTGTGTGGTAGCATATTTAATAGAAAAAAAAATCATAACTATTTACCGCTGGTGAGTTTATTAAGCAATGTATGGAAAGCATGGCAGAAATAATTTTGCCTTGAAACAAAAAGGTAGATATTTCTAAAATCAGTTTGTCTCATCAGATTATAGCTAGGCAAATTGAAAAAATAGGAAATTCTACCAAAAGACGTTTGGAGAGTGAAGCTGCTAATTTTAAATTTTATGCTTTAGTGACGGATGGCAGCACCGATGTTACAAATACGGTCAGTTGCCATTTTTATCGGAGGTATTCATGATGAATATAACGTCACTGAAGAAATGGTTTCTGTAGTGCCATTAGAAGACTCAACTAATGGCAGCGTAGGAAGCAGTGAAAAAATAGTTAAATCAGTTTCCTTTTTCCAATGTCAACATATCGGCTGTAGTTACTGATGGTGCCCTGGTGATGGCAGGTAGAAGAGAGGAACTTGTAAAATTAATAGAAGATGATGCCATCACTGCCCCAAACTCACATTTGATGAAAAATCATTGGATAGTACATCAAGAAAATTTACACACAAAAACTTTAAAAATGAATAACATCATGCGAATCATCATCTGGCCTGGGAATTTCATACGGGCCAAGGGACTGAATCATCCCCAATTCCAGGAATTCTTTAAAGGTGTTGATGCTGACTATGATGACATAGTTTACTTTTTGGAAGTAAGATGGCTAAGTGGAGGCCAAATTTTGAAAAAGCCTTTATGATTTGTGATACGTTATTAAGTTGCTGATAGTAACAAAAACATTTGTAGTTAAGAAAAACAACAACAGCAACAAAATTTGTGCCAGAACTTGACCATGAAAACTGGCTTACAGATTTAGTATCTTTAGCAGATTTAACTGGTTATGTAAATAACTTAAAACAGGCATTCGCAAGGTGAAACCCATGATGTCTCAACCCCTAGCAGGGTTCCAAACGAACCTGAAATTATGGCCAGCTCATGTTAAAGAAGCAATGGTACCCATGTTGACACATTGGATAAACTCAGTCCTGTGAACAGCCAAGACTATGCAGCCTTGCTTTTTGATTGGATACAAAAATTGGAAAAACACATTTCCGGGAAAATAATGGATATTTTTCTGCATTTGTGACCTCATTTTCAGTTGACATAAATATGTTACCTGCCATTTTCAAATGGAATACATAAAGCTGCAATCTGACAGGAAATTTTATGAAGAAATTAATCATGTCTCTCTATTGGACTTTTATAGGTCCTAACTTCCTGGAGACAAATACCCCTCATTTCACAGTCGCACCTTATTCGTGTCTTTTCTTCTGGCAGCATCCACATTTCCGACCAACTGTTTTAAAAAATGAAACCTATAAGAGTAAAATTAAAACCAATATTTTATGTTGCCCATGCATGTTTTTTTGTTTCTTTTACTTTTATGATAAAATAATCCAAAGACATTTTATTAATTGAATATGCATTTTGTCTATATTAGTGATTGCAAATGCTCAATGATTTTTAAAAGACTCTCTGAACATCAGCTGCCTAATTAGGATTATTAACTATGTGAGGACATTTTAGCCAATCTGTGATAGCAGATATCATGAAAAGTATATGTGGATTTTTTTTTTCTCATCATCTTCCATTAGTATTTGCATATTTAATGTGTGGTCCAAGACAACTCTTCTCCCAGTGTAGCCCAGAGAAACCAAAAGGTGGGAACCTCTGGCTTTAGCACATCAGAGAATTGGTATTAGAAGAATATTCTGTGTCAGAAATTTGCTTCCCCTACAGAAACATATACTGTACTTATTTCTTCCTGCCAGATAAGCGAGATCTTACATTACACGAAGGAAGTCACTCTCTATTTTTTGACCCTATCTACCTACCCTTGTTTTTGTAACTCCCTGTTTTTTTTTTACCACTGTCTCATGTTTCCAGCCCACTAATCTCCTCTAACTTGAACCCTGGTGAGAAGACGTGGACACAGAAAGCAAAGCATTTCCATAGAACAGGTGCTTGATTTCAGTAACACCAGACCCACTTTACTCTCTGTTATATAATGGAACTTCAATCACAAGAGAAATTCCCTATCTGCGAATGATCTTGCTATCTTAATATATTCTATCAGGTGGAGTATTGATAGAAGGAGACTAATTAAACCAGCTTTGCAGAGCATTACAGAACATTCTAAGTTTTTTTTTTATGAACATTAATATAAAGGATAGGAGGATCCATGACCTATTAAGTCCAGTTATGTTATTTTGAAGTTATCTTTCAAGTACTAAAATGAATACCTGATGGATAAAATTTAAACTCATTTAAGTACTTCTATATTTTAATTCTCTATGCTTTTAGCTGCAAATAGAAACAAACTTGATTGAATTCTGAAACAATAACATGATAACATTTTACCATACAGAAGAGCTGCTTAGAGAGTTAAGAATTGATACATTCATAAGCTTGGTACATATTGACATGGAAGAAACTGCAATAGTAGAAATTTTTAAATTGTTGTCTTTTTAATTCAGTGGTTTTGCAGTGAAAATCTATAATTATAGTTTTGGTTTCAAAATGTGTTTGTTCTGATGCATTTTGCTTTTTCAAAATGTGACTTTTGCCAAATACTTTTAGATGAGATGTCATTTATTTTTAGACAGAATACTAATAGTAATTAAGGGAGGCAATGAAAAATGGATTATAGAAAGCTTATTTATAAAGTAACGTCACGCTTGGTAAAGAAAAGAATGATACAAAAGTA